CTAGGAAAGAATGTGGACTTGAGGGAAGACCAGCCTTTTGTGTATTTTGTTTTGCTTTGTTTTTGGCGGGGAGTGGTGTTTTGCTGTGTAGCTCTAGATGGCCTCAAGCTTGTGATCCTCTTGCCTCAGTCTTCTGAGTGTTGAGAGGTGGGGTAGAGGATGTATACAGCATGAGGCTCAGGTTTGCAGGGCTGTGGAGGAGCAATGTGGAGTGAAGGAGCTATCTGCATCCACTCCTTGCTGTCTGGTGAGGATGCAGAGTAGAGATCATGAGCAGTCCGCAGATGGTGGATGGCCGGGAGGCTGTGTACTCAGGAGAGAACCAGGTTTCAGATTTGACTACATCGCCTGTGAAGTGGATATTCCAGAGAGCCTGGTGGAGAGATCTTTTCTCCAAGGAAAGCAAGCCCAGAAGAGCATGAGGTTGAATGACCAGAAGCCCACCAGGCATCATTCTCAGGGGTTCTCTTAGGTGGTGAGGTTTTGAAGCAGAATGGGATTAGCTGCTATCATTTGGTAATGGAAGAGGTTTTGGTGCTGGGGGACAAGTGCCACTTCAGAGGTGCTAGCTATGCCTAGGGAGCTGGTACTCAAGATGAAGACCAAGTTTCTCTTGAGTGAGTTATAAATATTGGATTGAGTGGACATTCTTTGGCATGGCACTGGGCCACAATTGTTGTGTACATTTGTTCCTGAGGTGGAAGGAGAAGCCTGTTTGGTACGGTGAGGCCCAAGGAGTGGGGTGCCATGTGGAGTGACTGACTAGAATCTGGGTTTGTGACAGGTTTTTTAAAGTTTGGAAGCCCTTCCACAGATTGTCAGGGTTGCCCGGAGATGACCAAGGAGTGTTCAGATAGACTGTTGGTGCTGAACTTTTAGTGCTGTAAAATTAAAGATCCCTTACTGTGGCCTGTGTGTAGTTACCTGTTCTTAAATTGGACTTTAGGTGTCTTTTTTTTGGTCTTTTTCGTTTTTATTGGTACCAGGGATCGAACTCACGACTGCCTGCTTGCAAGGCAGGCGCTTATGCCGCTGAGCTAAACCCCAACCCCTGGACTTTAGGTGTCTAGCCAGGGCCTTGTGATCTTTATTGGACATTTGTGGTTGTAGACACACAGAATGACAAGGACTGAAATGTTGTAATGGTATCTCTAGTTATGCAGTTGTGGCTGTGAATTTTTTTTATTGTTTTGTTAACCATTGATACTAGAAAATAAGAAGTAAGTATACATTTGTTTTCCTGAGATACATGTTTTCCTCAAGCATAACTTCACATAGGAAAGATTTATTACAAACTCGTACTTGGAGTTTTATTATCTGCATATTTTATGAGTACCGTTAGTGTTATAACTGGAGTTCTCCAGAAATTCACAGTGAGATCTGTGGCCCAGTTTTAGCTGGTGTGCCAAGTGGCACTGCAGATGCATTTCCTAGCTTCATTTCTGGTTCTGCCTTTTCTCTGCTCTTGTTTTTCTTTTCTTTTCTTACCTACTTTTAATTTATGTTATTTAATTGTATTTTGTTTGTGTCCGAACAAGCTGTGGTAAAAGTAAGTAAAACTAATACTAGGTGAGAGAGTGTGAACATCTTTCTGTTTCTGATGATTTTTACTTACTGCTTTCCAGAGCACCAGACAAGTTTCATTGTGGATTAAATCCTGAGCATTTTATATGTGTGACTGTAGAAATATTATGAGGATCACATAAGATTTGGAAACAACAATCACAAATGATTGGGAAACAAGGATGAATATGAAGAGGACAGTTCTCATTATCAGTTCTAAATTTTTCTTCTAATTTGTGTGTGTGTGTGTGTGTGTGTGTGTGGTGGTGGTTGTGGTGGTGCTTGTGGTGGTCGTGGTGGTACTGGGATTGAACCCAGGGGTACCCTACCACTAAACCATACTCCCAACCCTTTTACACTTTGAGGCAGAATTTTGCTAAGTTGCCCAGGCTGTCCTTGAAGTTGTAATTCTGCTGCCTAAGCTCCTGAATGACTGGAATTACAGGCATGTAGCACCATCCTGGCTTTCCTACTCTTTTATATTTAGATTTTAGCACAAATAAAATTATAATATACAGTATGCACAAATAATTTGATGTTCTGTTTTCCCTTTAAACTATACTGAAGCATTTTTGTCATTATAAATGTCTTACAAACCTAATTACTAATAATCATGGGATAAATATAATTTTCTTTTTTATTGTTGGACATTTAGGTTGTTTTTTAAATATTGCAGTGCAGATCATGATGAAAATATGTTACTTTTGTTTTGATTCTAAAAATAGGTAACTGAGCATAATAATATTTATTTTTACTATGCTAGAAGTTTAGCATCATCATTCTGTATGAGTATCTCTTAGGTTATCTTTAGGCATCTTTGGCAATATTTTTTAAAGAAAAACACTTGTCATAGCCTGCCTGTGTTGGCCTTAAACTCCAGGGATGAAGTGATCCTGTCTTGTCAGCCTCCCAAATGACTGGGACTGGACTGTAGCCGTGACACCCTGCTTGCTCGCCACTCTAGAAAACATTATTCTCTCAGTGGGATATGCCTAGAAGTAGAGTAACAGTGCTTATAGGCATGAATGTAAAAGAAAACCATAAATAAAGGAGAGGATACCGCAAAGTATGTTGATCAACTTGTAACAGAGGTGGGCTTTTTGTTGATGGTACTAAATGTGTCTGCTTTAATGAGAAAAATGAGTGAAACCTACATATTTAAAATTCTGCATAAAATGCTATATTTGGAAATTATGATAGGTAAATTGTAGTAAAGAGCTTATACAAATGAAAACTGAAAAAAAAGAAAAGTGCATAATTAGCAAACATTTGAAAGAATGTTTTAAATTTAAAAGTAAAAGAAGGATAATATATTACTTTGCAGTTATATATCTGTCAGAGATAACTTGTTCCTAGAAATATGTGAAGAGAACATAAATTGTCATATTTTTGAAAGCAGTATATCAGTTAAAATATATATGTATACTTTCATCCAGCAAGTCTATCACTAAGAATTCATTTTAAGGGGATTATCAGATCGGGACTAATATTGTCTGCTGGAGCATTATTGAAAAAAATTTAAATGAGAATTTGATGTACATTCATCAGGATGCTATGCATGTTAAAAATGATGTCCAGGGCATGTGCCTATAATCCGAGCACTCATGAGACTGGGGTAGGAGGATCAAGGCCCAGGTGTCCAAGATATATTAAAATAATAAAAAACTGAGTGAGATGCACAAAATATGGAAAGAGATAAAATTTAACATGATTGTTTTTCTGTTTAGGTGGATTATGGCTGATCTTGTAGTTTTCATTTCCTTGTTTTTCCTGAAGTTTTAAAATGTCTATATAACTTGAATATATATAGAAGGAAGAACAAGAGCCAGTTTCCCAAATGTGAAACTGGTTACAGCAAAACTGAACTTGTATTTTATAATGTATTTTATGGTTACCAATTGTTGATTTCAGATTTAAGAGCAGAAATGTCAAATAACTGTAATTTATGAAGTGAAGTTGAAAAACATAAGATAATTGATGGGCGGATGAGCATCTAATATTGAGATTGGAAAAAAGGAGAGCACCTCCGGTTGACCATGGAAATCAGTTGCTATCCTTCATCTCCTTTCAAATTCTGCCTTTCACAGGCCTGGAATCATTGTCAGATCCTCTGCTGGAGCCTGGAGGGTCTGTGGGGGACTGAAGGTGTCCCCGTCAATTCTGTTCTTACCTAGAGGAGGCTCTACAGTGAGGCTCCGAGAAGCTTACTCTCTCGGCTGGGATCCACCATCCTGATTCCTTTGGGAATATTCTACTAATTTATAGATAGCTAAGTTGAATGAATTTTCTCACATCTTCCCGCTCTTTCACCCCCAACTTAGGGGAAGCTTGTGTTTCATGGGTGTTTGCAGGTGTGTGGGACTTTGAAAAGAGGAAGCTATGCAGGAAGAGCTAGTTTGGTCACTTCAGACTGGGTCCTTTCCTTCGCAGTTTAGCTCGGGCCATGAGCACAGATTTGGGGGCAGATGAAATCAGTTTTCAATACCAAAGCTGTTCACAGCCTCTCTGATAGATTACTCTTCCTATGTGTTTTTAAGATTTTCTTCATTTCTTGGATTAAAACAGACTTTTGACTTGAAAAAAATACATTTTTATACTGTAGCTTGAGCCATTTATAGCTTGTATTCAAACCCTAAGATCAGTAATTAGTGGCACCCTTTTAGGAGAAAATGGTTTATTGGAGACATGATTGTAACTGAGGAGTCCAAATCTTGTTTTGATGTAGATCAGCTTAGTTTCTTAACACTGGCTTTATTATTAAATGGCTACAATCACATCATAGAAAACAAGGAAAGGGATAAGATTATTAATATTTTTCTGCTATTCAGTGGAATTTTGTTTTTTCCTTTTATTATGCATCTTGAATGCAATATGCTTTCAAGGTCATGGTTCTGAGGTTCTGGTAGAAGATGACAGTAAACAAAATCTTTTCTATTTTCATCTAATCTGCCTTCTAACCGAGCAGGGCTTTGCTACCTTTTTATTACTTTCCCTTTGCTTTCAGCGAAGCTTGTCAGCATATTTAGCAGAAGGTAGAGACTTAATTTCTTTTTGCAAGATTTGTAGTCAGTAGTAATATCCAAAGAGGAATTATTCTGCACAAAGAAATTCCTGGAGTTAAGGTTAGAGGAAATGAATCAAATGTTCTAAACAATTTTGAGAGATAGGTGAATTCCATTTCTTGAGGATCAGGAAAAAACAAACCAAAAACCTGGTGCTTTTGATTCATTTTTGTTCCTCAAATTTTCGACTGTGCCTTGAGGCCCAGGCTAACCATTCCTGATTGGTGCACCCCAACATTTGGTTGGTGTGTTTGGTGGAAAGAGAGTGTTTCTTGCCCAGTTTGGTTATTTGAAAGGAATGATTTTCCTTCCCTTTAGCCAAGATACGCTGCTATTCCTTATGTTTATTTTTTTCCATTCTGTTCTTTTTTGCAGAGTACTCGGGCAGAGTTTGACTTGCCAGAATATTCTGTTCGCCGAAGATACCAGGATTTCGACTGGTTGAGGAGCAAACTGGAAGAATCTCAGCCCACCCATCTCATTCCCGTAGGTAGTAATCACTGCAGCTTGTTTCTCACTTCGCCTGTGTTGTCTTTCTGGCAGCTGCTCGCTCAGCTCGCTCAGCTTCCATGACTGATACACACTGCTGTGCACTTTATACCAGAGGCCCCCCTCAGATGCATGTAAGACATACTGGACAGTGTATTTCACCCTTTGGCTTCTGATTTGCTAGATAGTGAGCCAGTTTTGGGGTGCCATGCGGTGGATTTTTGACCATTTGTAAACAAGGTTTTTGCTGAATGATAAGTCAGCTTTTCTGACGAGCTTTTTGTGGGTTTTTGAGGAATGGGGGAGCCCTAATTTCTCTTTGCTGCCTGTTTTAAAGGTGCAAGCCTGGAAGCGTGAGCCTTGCTGAGGCTGTGCCTTTTCCCCTTTGGTGGACGCTGTTGGGTGGCTGCCACCAGGTGGAGAATGACAACTCAGACTGTGACTGGCTGAGCTGTCTTCGGACAGGAGTAACTCAGGGAGCAGGAATCTGCACACATCATTCATCCAACTCAGTGTTTTATTAAAAAAAAAATAAAACTCACGCGGCCTGTTTATTGCAGCACTATAGCATTTACCTATTAATCACATCTGTACATTTTTGTTTCACAGAACCAGAGCAAAAAAAACCCCATGCATAATATATTAAATACATTTCTGTCTGTGTTTTTTTGAAAATAGAAATAGTGACTGTTTTAGATTCTATGTATTTCTTTGGGCTTTGAGTCCTTTCAGGTAGTTTGGGTCAAAAAAACTCTTCAGATAGGCTGATTTTGTTGCGCAACAGAAGCATTTTGTGAATAATTTCTTAGTGTTGCCAGCCTTTCTGTTGCCACTGCAGCCTCCAGTATTCTTTCCTGCCTGTTCGGAAGAGGCTATATACGTTGAGAACACACAGACAGCTTCTTGGTTTTCAAGGTAAAAAGAGCCAAGCTACTAGTCCTGGGGTAGAAAGGACAGGACTCCTGGGACAGATCTTTCCCAGGGTTTCATCTCCTCTTTCCCAACACATACCCCTCTGTCCCCCTAGCCCATGGCTTTCCTTTCCCTGCTTTCTGATCGCTTATAGAAATGTTTGAAAGGGTAACAGTCATTTTTAAACAGTTGAGACTATTCCTTAAAATAGAGTCTTAATTTGGCAGCATTGGCAGCTAGTGACTAATTTTGTAAAGTACACAATTTACTTCAGAACAGTTTTATAATTACAGAGTCGCTGTGAAGATAGTAGAGAGTTCTTTGTGTATTTTAAACCCAGTTCTTACTAACATTTTACATCAGTATGATACATTTGTCACAATTAATGAACCAATTATCATCATTATAAATGTTAAACATAATTAATAAAAAGCACTTAGCCAGGCCTGGTGGTGCAGCCCTGTAATTCCAGCACTTGGGAGGCTAAGGGAGGAGGATTATTGTGATTTCGAGACCAGCCTGTGCTACAAATGGAGCTCAAGGTGAGCCTGAACTGCATCTTGAGACCTTATGTCAAAAAACAAAAACAAAAACAAAAAACCCAAAACCAAACAAAAACAACAACATCAACAAATTAAAGAGTCCCACAATTTTGCCTCATGTCATTTTTCTGTTCCACGATCCCATCCAGACCATGTTCCATTTTGTAGAGACAGGTTCCCTTTGGCTGTGATAGTTTCTCAGGCTTGCTTTGCTTTTTGATGATGTAGACAGTTGAGAAGAGTAAATTGTCTCTCAACTGAAATGTTTGATATTTTTCTTGTGGTTAGAGTGTAGTAATGTGTCTTAGAGGGGAAAACCACAAAGGTAAAAGTGCCATTCTTATCATACACGTGCATCAGTGTGGGTTTCAACTGGGATCACCTGACACTGACACGAGGTCGTGCTTGTTGAGTTTCTCCACTGCACAGTTCCTTTGGGTGGCGCACTGTCGGTCCTACACTGAAGAGGAAGAAGGATGCTCCTTGTGGTAGCCCACACTGTGTCTCCCCCTCTTGACAGCCAGTGCATTTGTGGCTTGGTGCTTGAGAATCAAAGGGTAGAGAGCGATACCAGCTGGTGAAACAGTGGCTCTCATCCAGAGGTCCACAGATGCACAGATTTTAAAGCTCAACTGACACGAGTGGAAATCTCCATAAGGCCCAGGTGGATCCAGGCATCTTTACGAATGGGTTCATGTACTCTGGATAGGAATAGTGAGTGGAAAAGAACTTTAAACACAGGTGCAAGCTGGGCATGGTGGTGCATGTTTGTATTCCCACAACTCAGGAGGATGAGAGAGGAAGATTGGTATGAGTTTGAGGCTAGCTGGGGCTACATAGTGAGTTCAGAGCCAGTCTGTATTACATGGTCAGACCCTGTCTCACCTGCCTCCACCCCACCCTGCCAAAAGAATAGGTGGAGACTTAAATTTCTTCTTAAATTCTTGATGTTTGTCTGCAGTAGAGATTTAATTTAGGAGAATATATTTGACTTGAATATAAAAGTCAATTTAGAAATGTTTTTCCCTATTAAAATACCATTTCTACAGCAATTTTGCTAGGAAATAGTCTGTAATAAACCTTAACTTTGTGTTCATATTTTTCTAGGTCTATTAGGTGAACTTGGAGAGAGGATCAGAGAGTGAGGTAAAGGTTAAAAGACAAAGGGATTCCAGCCCTGGGAAACTTTACTGTCAGATAGAGACTCAGTAAACATGCGATGGAATTGTTATTTAGATTTTTCTTTCTTCTTTTTAGTTTTAAATTATGTATTTATTTACTTTTGCTGCTGGGAATTGAACTCAGGACCTTGCACTTGCCAGTCAGTCACTTTGCCACTGAGCTTTATCACCAGCCCTTCTTTTTTAAGTTTTAAACCAGCATTAATAATTGAGCTATAATTCAGGCTTTTAGGATATCAGAGTTGTGTAACCATGAGCAAATCAATTTTAGAGCTTTTATCAACCCATAAAGAAACTGAACCCCTTAGCTGTCACATCCATCCCCTGTCTTTACCACTCCCTGGCACATTTACCTACTGTCTGTCTCTATAGATTTCTGAACTTGTCCTGTCAGTGGAATTTGCACCACTGTGTGACCTTTTGTGACTGGATTCATTGACTTCGCATGTTTTCCAGATTCATTCATGTTGTAGCATTTATTAATACTTTGTCTTTTTATTGTCAAGTAACACTCCGTTATATGGGTATAATACATTTTGGCTATCCATTTGTCCTTGAAGTGTTGTGTTTTTCCCTTTTAGAGTGTGGCAATAATGAATAGTACAGATGTGAACATTCATATACAGCATTTTCTGTGGTCATGTGTTTTCATTTTTCTTGAGTGTATGCCTAGGAGTGTAATTGCTGAATCATATATAAACTCTCTATTTAATCTTTTGAGGAGCTGTCAGACTGTTTTGCAAGGTGGCTGTGTTGTTTTACATTCCTATCTTCAGTGTGTAGGAACTCAAGTCTCAGTGTATCTTCACCCATAGTGGTTATTATCAGTCTTTTTATCATAGCCATGCTAGTGGGTGTGGCTTCTCATTGTTTTTATTTGCATTTCCTGGATGGCTCATGATGTTGAGGGTCTTCTGTTCTTTGGACATTAGTATGCTTTTCTTTGAGAACTGTCTGTATTTTAAAAACTAGGTTATCTTTTTATTTTTGAGGGTTTTTTTCCTCAGTTTCCATTTTGAATTATTTTTTGAGAGGAACTCTAGAGCCTTTTTTAAGAGAATGATGGTAGGTTCCTGGGTTTGTTTTGCCATCCAAAGTCAGCTTTGGTGAAAGTGGTTGAGAATCACTGAGCTTTTGGATTATATTGTTTATGTAACAAGTATGGAGATAAAATCTCCCGCTCTCCTTGGGCTCTGTGGGAATCCCATGGATTGGGGTGAACAGCCTGCCAGACTGTAGCTCTGGGGAGGCACCGTGAGGTTCTTTGATTAGCCTTTTGCTAGGGACAGTCATTGGCCTGCCCCATTTCCAGTCTGTGTGGCTCTTAACTTGACTACTTTTTGAGTGCTCTGCTGGAGAAACTCAGCCCCCTAGCGGTGGTTCCTAGAACCGCCTTTCTTTTGCCTGAAAAAAAACCACAAGATAGTGATAAACTTGTCTCTCAATTCAGTCATTTCTGCTTTGTCTTAACAAGCTCTGGCATACTGCACATCTGTCCAGGATCGGACGCAGGGCCTTGCAGTGTCCTGCCAGGAGCTACACCTCACACTCCCGACAGCACCCTTTTATGTTTTGCAGTGCTGTGATAGATTTTTTTCTTTGTTCTTACTGGTACATGTTTGTGATACATATTAAGTTTATACAGTGTGGGGAGTTGACACATATCCATATCACATTTAAATCCTTTTTACTTCCCTTTATCCTCTCTCTCCTGTCTGAAATTTTAAAAGCAAGAAGAAATAACCCTATGTTCTTCAGATGCCATCTTAGAGCTAGAAGTGTGTAGAATGCTTGTCATTTTGTGAGGTGTAATAGTTGGAGCCACCAGAAAGTCTTTATTGTGATTGTTTTCCTCTCAGTGTTTCCTTTAAAGCTTTATCCAGTTATAATTGATATTGTAAAAGCCTGTACAGATTTAATGTACACAATTTAACTAGTGAGTGTGCACCTATGATATCACCGCGGTGAAGGCAGTAAATGTATTCATCACCTCAAGTTTCCTTGTGTACCGTGGCTTGTGTGTGTAGTAAGAACAATGTGAGATCTATCCTCCGAGGTATGTAAGTGCACAGCATATTGTTCATTTTAGGCACCACTGTCTTACAGCAGATATCTCAAACTTGCTCATCTTGTGGGACAGTAACTCTGTACTCTGTCCTAAACTTCGGTGACTAGCATTTTGCTGTTTGCATCTGTATTTGCTCAATGATTTTAACACTGCTTCATTTAACACTGCTGGTTGCACGACAGAGCAATTTCACTTTAGCTGGACATGTATGGATTTGAAAGATGAAGCAGATAAATCTGTGACACATTTGGGTACTTAATTTCACTTAGAAGTTTATATTTGCTTCACTTTTTA